GCCCAGGCTGGGAACAGGCACAATGAGTTCTTGTGCGTTAATCGTTATTGAAGAAGCTCACGCACTGCCTCGCAACTCAGATGAAATACAGATGTAACTATTTTTGTGGGTATTCACATGAAGCAGAAGAAAAATAAGTCCATTCATATAATTGAGTATTTCGGATTTCAGAATACGTGCATGCTTCCAAACTTCACACTACAGAAGAATATCACAACAGTACCAAACAATAGATCATATGACTATGGGCGTGTAAGTAATTCAGTACTAGTACACATAGAACCAATCAAACAGAAAAGAGTCATAGAAAGTCTGAAACTCTCATGAATACACATACATATGCTTCTAAACTAAAACACATCTTTGAGCTACAACAGCACCATTAACTACAACCCCAGGCAAAAATTATAACTTAGATTTCCACTACTAATCCTAAAATTACTTGTCGTTTCTAAAAGAACTGATAGATATGGTTCTTGTGTCCTTGGCGGATATCGCCATATCAGGCTCCCGACAAGGCGGGGACAGCAGCGGCTTCCCACTTCCCAGTCTCCTCCTGTTGGATCGGCGGCAGTAAGCCAGTAACTGCCCTAGGCCCTAGCCTCGAATCCTCGATGCCGCACCAGTTCTCCCTGCAGGGATTCCTCGCTTCTATTTCTCGTATATAGAATGGATATGGCTTTGGGATAGTTAGGCTGCACAACATAGCTGGACGCTGAGGTGAACGACGTCCAGACCTGGTCGCTATGGAAAGCAACGTCCTTTTTTTGGACGCTATTAGAATTAGCGTCCATCCTATTTTGCTAAATATAGGATATTTGCTAAATACCGGTCGTTCGTAAGAATATTTTATCCTCTGTATCAAGAGAGAAATATTATCTCTGCTCTAAAGTAAATAAAGGACTTACGTAGGAATTTCATATGATTTAAATCCTATAGGAAATTTTTCTATTAGCCCTTTGATTCAAAGGATTGAAGTTTTTCAAATCCTATGTAATGACACAGATTCAAAGGATTGAAGTTTTTCAAATCCTATGTAATGACACATTGCATGTGGATTTTAGAGGAAACTTAGCAAGAGCTCCAACCTCTTGGAAAATTTCCTTTGAGTCTATCTCCCGCATCTAATTCCTGCGTTTTTTCTTGCGGTCTAATCAAATGATCATTCCTGAGTTTTTTTATGTGTTTTACAATCCTCTGTTTTACACTTCAATTCCTATCAGAATCATGTGTTTCTCCCTTTTTCTCTATTTTTTCAACCCTACGATTCAAAGGGATCCTAAAACAAAGCAATTTTTACATTTGAAAAACATATCTTCTACGCTATACGCATAGATGATCATAAGTAACTACTTTGAAACAGAGAGGGAGTAGTGGCCGATGATATACGCTTAGAAATATACAAGGCCGACGGTTTTTATAGGTGGCCGATGGTATAAACACCTAGGTAAAAATTAGGATCTTGTAGGGTACGAATTTTTATTATTTTTAAACTTTTTAATGATTTAATTTACAAAATAGATCATTACTTATTTCTAAATCATCTTTTTGGCCACACAACCCCAAAACAATAACAGCAATTTGTCTTACCACGTGGCGTGACCAAAAGTTTAAGATTTGAAAATAAGTTTAGAATTGGTTTATTTTTTAATTGAAAATTAAAAAGGTTCAAGAAAATATAAATAGAAAATCGTAGTGTGCTACCTTCTTTCACATTCTCTTTCTGTCTATGATTTTGATAACGTGACAATGCTAGGAGACTGCATGTCACACTGTTGACATACAAAATGGTTTTTTTGGTTTGTTAAGTTCATAGAAAAATCTATGCATCAATCATTAATTATATCTTTTTTAAAAGGGCAAAAGCTTTGCATCGTTTGTATTGATAGGGAAGGATAATATATGCAAAACACATCAAATTTTAATAAGCTTATTATTTTGTCTTTTGTATATATTTCCCTGGTCGAGTCAATCTCCTGTAAAAAAATATGACATCAGCATCTTTGGCATATATTCTCTTCTAAATATTTCTAACTCAACTTTAGCTCTATATATACGTAGTTTGTGTTCTTCCCTTCTTTTCCAACTCACCTATCTCTTTTTTCCGCGTGCACGTTTTTCAAACAGCTAAACAGTTTTTTTTAAGTTTCCTATAAAAAAGTTGCTTTAAAAATCATATTAATCTATTTTTTTAAAAAAAATAGTTAATATTTAATTAATCATGTGCTAATGAGTCGTTCTGTTCTGTGTGCCTGGGAGATGAGTTCCCAACTCATCGAGAAGAATATAGCCGTAGAGTCAGCCCATCGAACTTAATTTGGAGCTTAGCTCCCATCCTCAATTGTCTACATACCACCTCTATCATATATAGCTAGAGGCATCACCGTACAAGCAATCTTCACAAAATAGTGGTCCCTAACAAAATATACATAATTTGCATTTTGTACATTTTCCATTTTCATACCAGTCTCACCCGGACTACATACATCCTCCCAACAATCATATACTTGATTCTTTTCTCATGGTTTGACCCCAACACCCAAGTACCCAACACAAATTAAGAGAACACAATCGGAAGCTTACACGTTGTTTGTCACACATTATTTACCGTTTAGCAGTTTGAAAAGCGTGCGTGCGAAAATGAGAGAGATAAGTTGAAAACCCCAGCGCAACACAGCTTTTAGTCGACACGACAAACAAATTCCGATGTAATCAGGCTGATAGCTTTATTACTAATTTAGGTCTATTGTATATACACTCTTAGCAAGGTGAAAGAGACCATTTGAAGCACCACATTTCCTGCATTTGTACGCGTTGAAACACACATGACGTCTGGATATGGACATTGAGCATGTGCAAAGCCGATGTAAGCAAGGGTTTTTACAAATTAAATAACACGCGAAAGAAAATTAAACAAATGGAGAAGGGCCACTCAGCTGTCTGTTCAGCTCTCACATGATCCTCCACCCACTAGCTTTTTTTCTAAGCAAAAAGGGCACAAAAAAACCCCAATTAAACTAATCCCATTTGTCAATTTGCTAGCATCACCAAACGCCACACACACACACACACACACACAGAGATAGAGATTGGGAGATGGTAGACAGATAAGAGAGGCCAGGCTGAATTTTCCATGCACCAATCATTTGCCCAGCTCCCAATACCTACCTCAGCACCAAAGTGCAAGAAACCCAATTATTATATATTTTCTACAATTAATTGACTTGTGTTTGTGTTAGAGCAAGGATTACAGTGAGCTAAGTGAGCTATAAGCAAGCTAAATGCTTATGTGAAAAAGAGAGATAAAAAAAATAGGGAGTGTTGGCTCTCATGCAAGAGCTAGCTCCACACAAGCTCCAAGAAATAAGCATTAAATTCATAAAGAGATAAAGAGAGATGATGAAAAAAATAAATCCTACTCCCTCCATCTACTTTTGATAGTCATATTTCATCTTGGCACACAGACCAAGGATAAGTAATTCTACTTATCATCCATATAAACATGCTACTAGTCATTCCTCGTAAACAAGCGATTCATTTATATTTACGTTTCTCAATGCCCATGTAGCCAATCATGTGTGGAAGAATGGAGAGTCATGCATTAAATCTGAGAAAGTCATTAAAATGATAAGTTGTTGAAGTGAAATATGCTTATCAAAAATAAAATTTTTAGATTTGGAAATATGACTATCAAAAGTAGATGGAGGGAGTATCTTATGATGAAAGCATAAGCTATTATACATGTTAGCTTTAACATTGGCTTATAGTAAGTAGTGGGCTATACTACTAAACTTGCTCTTAATGCTATGATAGTTTGATATAGTGCTAACAAGTCAGTGGAAAAATAAACTAAACACCTATAAATTATCATGGATAAAACATCTATGTGTGCTGCTATCGATTTAAAAGCCAAGAAGACTAAAAATAAGTTGATAAAAAAAATCTCAAAATTAACTTTAAAAATTAAGTTTTAAAAGCGAGTATAATAAATGATGAAAGCAGACTCTAAAAATTACCAAATCAAATTTATGCTTAGGTTAAGAATGGAGAAGAGGAGAGAGAAAAAAAATCAGGTTATAGATTTAAGATGAAAATCAGGTTACAATATATCATATATTTATAACATGGATAGACTATTAAACTGGTTGAAAATGACGCGTTAATTTTTAGAGCGTGCTCTAAAACAGCAAGCAAACGACCAGATTCTAATGTTTTCATGATTTAAGCCGAGCTAGGAGAGCATAATTGAGACGTTGTACTTTAATTCCATACTAAACGAGTTAATTAATAAGGCTCTGTTCTTTTGGTTGAGTTGGGAACCCATCCCTCCGGTACGGAAAACGAAGCAGTCTATTAGCACGTGATTAATTAATTATTTGCTAATTTTTTTTTCAAAAATGGATCAATATAATTTTTTTAAGCAACTTTCGTATATAAACTTTTTGCAAAAAACACACCGTTTAGCAGTTTGAAAAGCGTGCGCGCGGAAAATGAGATGGGGGAGTTGGGAACTCCAGTAAACGAACAGAGCCTAAGAGTTGAACTCAATTAGAGCAAGTTTAATAGTATAGCCAACTAATAGCTCTAATTCGTATATATCCAATCTAATAGTTTATCAATAGTTATATAATACACCATTAATGTATGATCCTACATCTCATACACACACAATGCATTGGATTCTGTGCTGCAGCTGGCTATAAATCCTGCTTTCCTTCTCTCTCTTATCTTCTCTCTTTCACGTCTCTTTCACATGTGCTTACAGTCGACTCGACTTGTAGCCTGCTATTGTACTCGCTACTATACGTCGATGGGGAGGGAGGGAGGGTGGCTGTAGTGTGCTAATCACAAATAATTATCACCTACTCCTAGCTCTGATGACAGTAGTAAGTTAGGGCGTAATAATCTAACAACAGTAAGAAAATGACGTTGCTCTGCAGTCTGCACTAGTAGTAACACGCATCATTATGGCCACTGCTGTTCCCATCCATCTCCAGATTATACTACAACCCTCCAATCTATAAACACAGAAGTTGAAGAGAGAGAAAGAAGCAATAGAGGAGAGAGAAGAGAAGAGGTCAAGAAGAGAAGCAAGAGGAGAGAGGAGAATCGCTGCCTCTGCCACTGGAAAGCAGCAGCAGCAGGGGAGAGGCAGCAGGCAGCAGCAGAGGAGAAGCAAGAAGCAAGAAAGAGAGAGAAAGCGTTGGGACTTTTCATTGGATCCTCCGCTTTTGGGAGGAGCAGCAAAGGTCTCGTCTTTCCTCTCTTCTTCTCTTCCTTGTTGCCGGCGAGGAGGAAGAAGAAAGAGGAGGAGATGTTCCCGCCTGGGCTGATCCACCACCGGCCGGACGGCGGCGAGGCGGGGCGTGCGGCGGGGGGAGGGCCCAGCCTGGTGCTGACCGCCGATCCCAAGCCCCGCCTCCGGTGGACGGCCGACCTCCACGAGCGCTTCGTCGACGCCGTCGCCCAGCTCGGCGGCCCCGAGAGTGAGATTTCCCCCTTGCTTCTCTCCCCCCCATTCTCTCCGATCTCCGGTAGCTTAGCTCCCCCATTGGAGAGGCGGCGCATTGGCGTTGCGCTTGCGCGGTTGGTTGGTGGGTGGGTGGGTTGCTCCTTCGTTCTTGGTGGTGGTGGTGGTGGTTCGCGCCAAAGCTCGGATTGGGAGCGGAGATTTCGGCGCGGGATTTGGGGGGCATTGTTTTGTTTGTTCGGAGATTCAGGAAATGCTTTGGATCTTTTCGTTTGGTTATAATAAGTCTTCGATTTTGGCAAGGAGAGAAATGCCCGCTTGGCCAGCGCTTAGGGAAGCGGATTTAGCCCGCTCTAGGCTGGTTTTGGTGTGATTTGGAGGGGAAACTTGTACCCATTAGTTGTTTACAAATTACAAGTTTGGGGAGTTTACTGATTGGAGGTGAAAAATCGAGGTCGGCTACTGATTTGAGCTGCTTGCTTGTCCTGTACTTTAACGAATTCTGCACCGGTAGCAATCAAGAGTGTTTTGTTAATACGAAATTGGTGGTGGTTTCGGGTGTTAGAATTGGGACAAGGATGAGGGAGAAGTTTCTGCTCATTTTGGGTTTATTTCAGTGGTTTGTAAGTGAACGCAGTGGGATAAATACAGCGATTTCGCAATTTCCCACATGATGAGGTGCAGTATCTCACATTGGCACAGGCATAGAGCAGATCAGTATTTGGAGAAAATGGCTCATTCGGTTTAAAGGATTTTCATAGGATTATTGTAGGAATTGAATCCTTAGGAATTTTTCCTATATGCATCATTCGTTTCATAGGAATGGATCCTACCAAATTCCTAAGGATTGTAGTCTTTCAAGCTAATTCTGTAGGATTCTTAGCATGAGGTGAGACCTCTTAACTTTACCTATTCCTTTGATTTGGAATTCCTATGAACCGAATAAGCCCTAAGGTAGCGGCTTGATTGTTGCCACCAACACGGTTCACCTGCTATGCTTAGTACTTCAGAAAGACATCTGCCTAGCTTGCATAGGTGTGCAACTCCCGCCTCACCTGTATAGCCAATCGTTCCACCTAGAGCCACCTGATTGGTGATTAGGCGTTAGGCGCTTGCCACCGTATATAATCAACCTAGAGTATGCATTGAATGTTTTATCATATAATCATGTTTTTGGTGGCAAAGGGTATTCAGAAGCAGAAGTTATAAAGGATTGATTACTCTAGCATCTGATGTATGAATCTTGGTTCAACACGTAACCATGGAGCTGTTTGCACTAGTGAACAGTAATCCCTGCACACATCATATTTTTAACCTGACTATATTACATAGTTGACTGATAGGGTTTGTGCATAAGTTTTTCGTTCATGTTTGAATTTTGTGAGATGGGTGCTATGCATTGTCTGTGCTAGTCTATGCCTAAAACTTTGTAATGACTAATCACTAATGGTTGATGCATGACTTATGCAGAGGCCGGAATAAAGGCATTCATTTATCTTAAAAACAACATAGTTGTTCAAAGATGATACTGTTTGATTTTTCTTGGGCGCAGTCTAGGCATTTTTGGTGTATTTCTTAGAATCTGGTGCTTACATGCCAAAATGCTTAACTTATGGTATAGAGCTATAATAGTTCTATACTGATTTAGTTTAGCTTGATGCTTTGATTTTAGTGGACTGTGGTGTCTGCAAGAAGTCTTTGATTCAATCATTAAAATTTATTAAGGACATACAGTGAATAGAAGTGGCTGTATTTTTCTCCTTTGAGGTCTTACTCAATTTTGTTGACATGAGTTTAGTTCAATTTACTACTGTCAATTTTCTTGGGACTTGTTTCAAATTTCACAGAACTATGCAAATTTACATATTTAAGCCACAATATCACCAAACTATAGATTTAACACCAAATTTATCACAAATTTTGGCCTGTAGTTTTCTGTAATTTACTCTATTTTCTTTATAAAAATTCAAGGATTCACTTTTACCTTTAGGTTCTAATTATTTTGATGAACCATTTAAATCTCAGACCAACATTACAAGTGCTTCTGTGATTACTACCTCCGTCCATAAAAGGCCTTAGTTTTAGCTATGCACCTGGACAACTGTCTATACAAAGAAAAGCGTGTATTGTACTGTTCCTTATTTTCTTGTAGGAGGTATAATCAGTAGCACAGCGAAACTCACACTAGATCAAAATTCTAAATCTTAATTGAATCATGTAGGTAGTCTAAAAAAGGTTGTGCCTGTGGCTTTGTGCACCTTCTAGTGCAGTCCCTGGGACAATTATTCCATTATCTAAAAAAAGTAAATGTTGGCACTCTAAATTGCTGGTGCAGTGCCTGGGATAATTATTCCATTATCTAAAAAAAGTAAATGTTGGCACTCTAAATTGCTGGTTTATCATTAGTCAATTGCTAAGGGAATCAAGATGGATTTTTTTTACATTTTAGACCTTTCTAAAAACTTATTTTACAAATAGACCCCTAAAAAACTTATTCCAGGAATAGACCCTTTTCGCGACACCAATGTCATTGGCGCCGTGGTCCAACATAATGATGCCAAAGATATTACCGCCGTCCCCCTTTACATTAGTGAGTTAGCTTCTGTGGGGATGCTAGGGGGACGGTGCCAATGTCATTGGCGCCATCATGTTGGACTACAGCGTCAATGATGTTGGCACCGCAAAAAGGGTCTATTCCTGGAGTAAGTTTTTTTTGGGGTCTATTTGTAAAATAAGTTTCCCAAAAGGTCTAAAATGTGAAAAATCCAGGGGAATCCAGTAAAACAGTTTAAGATTTGATTTCATTATATATTTTTAAATTGAGTACTCAATGCATGATTATCTTGCAGAAGCAACACCTAAAACTATCTTGAGGACAATGGGTGTGAAGGGGCTCACTCTTTTCCACTTGAAGAGTCATCTTCAGGTAATTCATAATACTTTTGCATGTCTTGCAAAGTTTGAAATACAGCTATTTAAGTTTGATCTTCCTCGACCAGAAATATAGACTGGGGAAACAATCTGGAAAAGAGGCATCGGAGCAATCTAAAGATGGTAAGTTACACAAAGCAATCTACTGACCTCACTGTTAATTTCGATTAATATTCCAACTTCCAAGTCTTGCTGCAACAATTCCAATTTGTTCACATTGTGGAAGTTCATTCTGAAGTCATGCAACTATCCTACCATTGATCTGTGGACATGTTAAATACGGCTCTGCTCATGAACTGGTGTCTTATGAAGTTGGTTGATCATCGATTGCAATTTGATCAATATTGATGTATTGCAAGGAATCACTATGTAGCTAACTTCTTGAAAAGATTGGAGATTGCTTGAAGTTATATGATTTGGAGATGGTAGCTTGGGTTTACTGGTGTTAAGTTTGGATGCATCTTGGGAGGAATCAATTGGTAGCAACTTCTTAAAAGACCAGGGATTGCTGGAAATCGTATGGATTGGAGATGGCAGCTATGTTAACAGTGTTATGAATTTCCTTTAAGCTTACCATAAATCTCTGTTCTGGGGCACCAGTCTGTAGGGACATGAAGGAATAGAGTGGACCTGATGTGGGAAATAATGGGAGGATTCGTAGTTGAGTGGTCTGCAGGCAACCAAGGACTGAATGGTGAGAGGGAATCTGTATGTGGAGGAGTATTTTACGTCAGTGGACAAGCTTTTCTTTTTCAGGGACTAGCTATATTTTTGACTTCACATTTTTCACCATAAAATAGTCAATTGTTTTTTACATTGTAAATTACATATATTTACACTGTATTACACAAATTTACACTGTAGTTTTCAAAACTTACATTGTAAATTCCAATATTTACACCATAATTTTTATATAGGATTTACAGTGTAGTAGAAGCAAACCAGAAATCGACTGATAGGTAAACACCCATGTACCTGCAAAACTAGCACTAACAGGTGCGCTGTGTACAAATACCAAAGACTCCATGCATAAAAAACTGACTGAAATCTATCAATATTTGTGTCGCCACAAATATAGCGATTCCATATGGGTATATGCAAATTCGTAGTGGCACACATGCTGATCCAGAAGCTATAGGTCCTGTCCAGTAGGGAGAATTTGTGGGTTGTACTTTTGCCTTGTGTAGAAAAAGTTCAGTCTTGAGTTAAATTTAGCCCCAGTAATAATTGCATATTGCTAAGTAGGAGTACTAACATGAATAATCACATCAAGGTTCATCAGTGGGAAATGGAAGAGAAATTATACACAAAATGTTGGCAATATTAAGCGTAGTGTTGGTACATGTATCGTTGAATTGCAGTTTATTGTAATTGTTTCAAATGGAAACGTTTGTAGATTGAATTTGCTCATCTAGTCAAATTCTGGACTTTGTTATGCAGATATGTCTTTTTGACTTGAAAACCACACTTTTAAGAGTTCTTTTGACCTTTTACTAACCTCTGACCTCTGCTATGGTTTGCAGCATCCTATCTTCTAGATGCCCAAGGTGGAATGAGTGTGTCGCCTAGAGTTTCTACTCAAGATGTTAAAGAGTAAGCTCCATGGGATACTCATCCTGGACATTTGTTTCTCCATTCTGGCAAATACGAATATTTTAATAATAGTGCTCGTGTTGTGCTAGTTTAAAAAGAGTTAAAATGTCACATGTACTTGTTACAGAAATCAAGAGGTCAAGGAAGCATTGCGAGCTCAGATGGAAATGCAACGAAGACTGCATGAACAAGTGGAGGTAACTTTGAAAGCTTGATCCGTCATAATATTCTTTGGTTTTTATACATGCCATTAGCAAGAAAGAAGAGCTAGTGCTCACCAACTTCAGTATTTGCTACATAAGAATAAAGCCCTCAAGCTTTAAAACAAATGATATACCGTGAGGCTGATACTTCACCAATATTCAGAACAGCCGGTCCTTCAGGATTTGTGCGCTGCATCTCGTGTTACCGAAAAATGTGGAACACACTTGTTCATTATCATTTCTACAACTGCACTTTTAACACTTAGCATGCCACACAATATGTCAACATGAAAAGCTCTATTGAAGATCTGTTAGTTTTAAGATTTTCATTGTAATCAGGAATACATTGTCCAACACACAATAGTTGACTATTTCATTTTCCCATGATCAGGTCCAGAAGCATGTGCAGATCAGAATGGAAGCCTACCAGAAGTACATCGACACTTTACTAGAGAAGGCATGCAAGATCGTCTCCGAGCAGCTTGCCTCAAGCGGCTTCAGCATCTCGGACAATGATCTCCCGGAGCTCTCTGGTGGTGTCATGTGCGGCTCCGCTGACACATTGAGCTCCTCCATCTTCCACCAGCTCTCTGTCAGCCCAATCAACCTGCATAGTCCTGAGGGCAAGCCGACGCCCTCGGGCATCGAAGGCCAAATGATCCTCCAGAAGTCACCTGAGCTTAAGCGCAAGTCTTGCTGAGCCGTGTCGTTCGACGCAATCTGGATGTGCAAACACCAGTTTTCTTGTCATGGGGGTAGTCATGTCGAATTTCGGAATTCGAATTTCGGTAAGAAGGGGGGATGCTCTGCCAATCTTGTAGAGGCCATCTTGTTCTCTGGCTAATGCATGCCAACATTGTCAAGTAGCAAGGTTTTCTCTCTTATGTTATCAATCCAATCAGCATATCTTATATAAAATGCCTAATGTGCTAGATCAAGTGCCTTCCTTGATAAATAATATTATTACCGTGAGATTTGGGTTCTGACATGATTAACTGATATATCCATCTGAAACAATTTCGAATATCAGTTCCTAGCTTTCTATGCAAATAGGGGAATGCAAAATGCTCCTGTCGTTTTTGTCTACACATGTACCACATAGAGTCCTCATTGTCTAAACTGCTTCAGAAAACACTTCATTTCTTAGAATCAGCAAATAAAATTTGATCAATATCCAAATACTGTATGCACCATCAATAATAAAAAAAATATTTGAATTTGTAAGTCAACAGGAACAAATTATTTCTTTTATAGTTGAAAGCAGTAGCATTTCGTAGGCTACATCATCTTTCTTAAACATGACTTGCAAATTGAATGGCTCTTGCCACTTGGTATATTCAATTATTGTCCTTCTAAATTTCATTTCTTCCTCAAAATTTCAGTCGTAAGTTGTACATCACCATCATCATTTTCACTTGGTATATTGCTGTGTTTGGTCACCTACATGATCTCCAAGATGAAACCATACTACTTTGAATCATAACATGTTGGAATAAATACACAGAAAAGTATACTGGAGTTTTTTTTTTTTTTGCAAATTACAATTTATAAACATTATTTGCACACGACCAATCTAAACACTTCTTGGAACACCCATGCAGAGCTGAAAGTTGCTACTACCTTCTACATATTATATCATCAGGCCAAAGTTAGAGAATCATGGTCTCACACTCACTAAAACAAAAACAATACAAAAGGTTCCAACAAGGAAAGCTTTGTCCTCGTGTCACACCCTAAAAATCTTAAATATATAAATTGTTGTTTAATTGGAATTATTAGAATTTGATTTTAAAAGCCTAGAAGAGAAGATCTAATTTTAAATAATAAATTCCAATATAAAAGTGGGCCAGATAAATTTTTATTAAATACTTCTCTTGATTCTATAGTTCCTAGATTTTTCTGGGATTTATTTGAGCCAAGGAAGTATTTTTAATAAATAGAATTGCATTTCATGAATAATTTAAATTGAAAAAGTTTTAAAAATCTCTCTTTTGGCTTTGGGCCAAAAGTCAGCCCAAAACCCTCTCTCTCTCCTCCCTGGCCCAAGTCGACCCGCAGCCGAGCGCCGCTCGTGTGCGTGCGCGCGTCCGCCGCTGACAGGTGGGGCCCACCTATCGGACCCGTCGTCCTCCTCGCGCCCGAACCCTAACCGTGCAGCGCCGCCGCCGCCCTTCCAATTCGACCGCGCCTTTCCTTCTCCGGTGAAATCAATAGAGGGGAAATGATCGCCTTGATCTCCTCTATCTTTTCTCTTTTGGAATCATCGCCTAATTCGGTTTGGAAATCATCGGATTCGAGTTTGATTCGGATTCGTTTTCTTCTCCCGAGCCCTAACTTTCCATCGCCGTCGCCGGTCACCGTGGGCCTTCGTCGCCGCCCCCTAGCCGCTTTAAAAGGACCCCCAAGCCCTTCGCTACCCGCCGCCACCCTCGCCTTCGCCTCTCGCCGCCGGTAGAGCCCTAGCACCGTGCAGCCTAGCGCTGCCGTCGCCGCCGTTTGTCCAACCGTGCGTCGCCCCCGCTCCGGTCGTCATCGTCGCTCAGGGAAGCCGCCGTCGTGATCGTCAAGTCGTCGCCGACCTCGTCCGCCCCTCCGTCGTCGCCTTAGGTCACCGGAGCACCGCCGTCGTCGTCAAGCCGAAGGTCGCCGCCGCTTCTTCCTCGCCGCCGTCGCCGTCCGTTGATCTTCCGCCGCCGTTTTGGTCACCGGTGAGTTCGCCGCGTCGCCCGCAACCCGTAGGTGCTGTCCGTTCGCGCCGCCGCGCCGTCGTTCGCCGGCGAGCATGCGCCGCCCGAGCCGTCGTCGGTGATGACGTCACCGCTGACGTCATCGTCGCCGTGTCCCGTGGACCGCCGTGAACCCTAGCCGCTGACGCAATAATCCCCTTTTTCTTTTCAAAAATAATTCATTATTGCATCATAATTCAATTAAAATCTATATAAATGATTTAATCCGATTAAATCTTTGAAAATTCATAACTAATTCATCTTAGCTCGAATTTAGTTGGTTCAAGTCTCTAAATTTTTCTAAAATTGAGACCTACATGTTAAAAATATCCACATGTACTGTTCATGCTTGTTTATGTGCTGTTTTGGTGATTTTGTTCTTTTCTCTTTAGATTCCGACGTTCCCGGAGAGTCCGAATTTGCAGGAGAAGACTTTAAAGAGTTCCAAGGCTAGCAAGGCAAGTCACACAGATCCCAAACGACCCTTTGAGCATATTGATCCCGTTTAAAGCTATTGTTTCTATTCAACTATTGCATTTATTTTCGAATGTCATTGGGTCGAAATAACCTATTGCCTTGTTATAGCCCTTTTGCTATTGATTCCCTATTCTTTGTCACTTGGTTAATAATTTGATTAGCTAGAACATTATATGGTTTTAGCTAAAGTGATTAGGATGCTTAGCCATGCTTAGAGACACTAGCTCACATAAATGGGATAACTTATGATTTACTACTACTTAATGATGGCTTAATGATAGCTCATGATGGTTAATCATGATTGGTTAATTAATTAATTTGCCAACTAAAATCTGATAATGGTGGGTTGTGAGCACATGGTTTTGATGGTCGTGCTCATGACAATTAAGGACCGGTTCACGATTTTTAGTTGTGAAACATTAATCGTGCCAACCACAAGCCAGCGTGGGCAACGGCTTTACTTTCTGTATAGTATGGTTCATAGTAGAGCACCAGACTGTGAAGTGGCGGAGATAAGGCCACGGGGGTCGCTGGGGAGTCCATGCCTTGTTTAAGGGGGTGATTATGATCCGGGAACGGTGCACTGCTTTGAATTGTGTTATGCAGGAGGTATTGTCACAATCTCTATTCGGGTACTTGTCAAGTATCGCGACGCATGGTTGACATGATGTTGAGGTTGTGTCTTGTGGGTACAGTGGTACACCTCTGATCAGAGTTTAAACTATTCGAATAGCCGTGCCCGAGGTTATGAGCGGGTCTAACAATGTCTTTAGTGATTAGTCTCACACTTCTCACTATATTAAATGATGATGTTAATAACTTGTTTAGCTCCTGGTTTGGAATGGTATATTCCTGGTTTGGAGATAGAACTGTGCAGCCGGGATTGGTTGTTCAGAATGGTTGGCCCTATGCAACACGGGTGTGTTGTATAGTGTTGATTTAATATTGTTTAATTACTCAACTGTTTTACTATTCTCTCAATTGCTTATTAAATGCTGTTTATGCAAATGAGCCTATATTATGCCATCATTTGTTATCCATTGCACTTGCATATTTGCTGCGTGGCTTGCTGAGTATGTCATATACTCATCTTGCAATCATTCATCAGAGGAGGAGTTCTACAGTGATGCTGATGGTGTGGATGATTAGGCGTAGCCCTGGTCAAGCTGCCTGTGGAGAGGAGTCGCCTGCGCTATTTCTTTTATTTTCCACTGCTTAGAACTTTATTGTTTGAGAGGAACTATCTACCTCTATAATGACTTTATATTCGCTTATTAATTAGAGTAATAATTGTACTCTATTATCAATTTGTTATTGTGTGCCTCGGCTGATTCCTAGACGAGGGTTTACACACATGTAAGCGTTTGGAATTTTGGATAGAAATTCCGGGCGTGACACCTCGTCTTCACCTTAATCCCCATTTGTTTATGCCCTAATGCCCAATTAACCCCTTCCAGCACATACTAAGCATTACAGAAACGAAGAAGAGACAGAGAAACCATTTCTCACAAGTGATGACTAGCCCTAGGGACAACCTCGAAGGAATATTCCGGGCATCTTTTTCTAAAGATTCCTGCAACGGATGCCTCCAAATCCAAAAAATACTATAATTTCGGGCAACTTTCGACAACGACCAGCTCATTTACAATTTGCAAACCAGTAGTGAATTAGGTGTCTAAGATTTAAAGATGAAATCGATGCCTCTCCCATGCAAGTGATCTCTTTATAGCTTGCAACAGATGTCATGCATGGCTCCAACGAGCAGTACAAGATAGTAGAAAACTAGAAATTAATATTGCACCGGATATACCTTAGTTTCAAGATTTTGCATGGACAGTTCCAATTCTTGTTCCTCTCCAACCTTGTTGAGGGTTTCGCATTTGTACGACTTTCTCGATTCTAACTACTTTCGAGTGCTGGCATGTGCATCAATAGACGATAAGGGCTTTGCTGGAATGCTCGGAATTTGAGGATTTTTATCGGAATTGTGCAAAAAGGAAAATCCTTTAAATTTCCTGGATATATGGTTTGAATTTTTTTGGAAGCTTTATGATCCTACGTGATTTTTTTAACGCAGAATTCCTACATGACTATTGTGAAGCCATGAAAGAAATTTGAAAATATACTTTATTTTTTCATATCTTGCGTTTATATACCTACCTGTGATTAATTTGTAAAAATATACCTAATTCGCGGAACGGATGGGTGGGAGCGAGGACGAACCGCATACTGGGGATGTGGGAGCGGAATCCGAGCCGGTCGCGCGGAACTGGGATGCGCAACCGAGCCGGTCCCACATGACTGGACTGCGGGACTGAGTCGGTACCGCGGCTCTGATGTGCGGGAGCGATGGAGCATGTGGGATAGCGAGTGAACGCGGCGGTGCCGCAGAACGGTGGCGCGGGACTGACGCTGTCCCGTGTTTCCAACACGCGGAACCGAGCAGGCCGCGTGTTGTTTGAGATGTGTTCTTCCTCTAATTTTTCCTACTCATCCACGCGCACGCTTTTCAAACTCCTAAATGGTGTATTTTTTAAAAAAAGTTTCTATACGAAAGTTGTTTAAAAAATCATATTAATATATTTTTGAAAAAAAAGCTAATACTTAATTAATTATGTGGTAATGGTCTGCTCCGTTTTCCGTGCATAGGAGATCAGATCCAATTCGGGAACCGAGATAGGGGGCGGCATGTGGGAGAGCCGGTCCCGCACATCTGGCATGCGGGAGCATTGCCGCGCTCACCCAGTCCATGGGACCGGCGCGGTACTGCATCCCCAGCCTGCGGGACCGGCTGGTTCGTCCTCACTCCCGCGCAACCGTTCCGCGGATTGGGTATATTTTTGGAAATTAATCACAGCCAGGTATATAAACGCAAAATATGAGAAAATAAAGTATATTTTCAAATTTCTCTCGTGAAGCAATATTCTACACATATGGATATGATGTACTTCAGTATACATGTTCTCCATATTAAAATCTGCTGACATGGAAATTAAAAGGGAAAATAAACAAAATCAACTTGATCATGGGCCATTTCAGAACGCAAAACTTTTATGAGGAACAACATATAACTCATTTATCCCTAATATTTGCATCGACCTTTTCTTTAGTTGAATAAAAATCCATAACATCATTATCATGGCAGAAAAGAAAACGTAACCATAAAAGTGGTAGAGAATTGTAGCTCGGAACACATGTGCAAAAAAACTATGGATCTTCCATCGAGCAACCATGTTGTGCTCCTATTTTGAAAAGAAAATGCTATGATTCAGCTGACCATTTAGCCTATATTAGAAAAGAAGAAATTTCCCCAATTCTTACAGCCATTGAAGATGCCTTTTAGTTTTCTTATATGTAAATAGCACATATGAGGAAAAACAGTTGTGGAGCGATTGCTCGGCTATCCTTGGCAACAGCCTAGGCTTGTCAGCAAATGCACAATATAATTTTTTTAATGTTAATATTAAAATTGAAAATAGAATTTCCCTAATAACTACTCCAACAAACTTAAATTTGTATGAACTCTAAAAAGGCCATGGCTCTGCCATTAAGGAAAAGCGATTTACGGTGGCCAGCAAGTCGTTGAAATGAGTTCTTTTAATAAATAAGTTTTTCCTAAAAAATGTGAAATAATCTTGTTATATTATATTATTTCCAATATTACTGGTGTGATAAAATAATACTACGACACTAGTAAAATACTATTTGTGGCTAAGGTTTAATAATATATGCGGTGTTTGTCAACATTATGGCTAAAACATTTATTTAAAAATAGTAGAGAATCCATTTTAAAATTTTATTAAATATGTTCAAAAAATAAAAACTCCCATTCAAAGTGCGCGTTCTCTTGAAAGTGTTCATAGAAAAGCCACTCGGTAGTCGGTACCCTTCCTAGCAGCAAGCTTTGACCATTTACTACTTTGGACGTATAGAAATCTTCCACGTGGCACAATCCAACGGCCTGCACGCCGAGAGGAGACGCCATGGCCCATTGGCCAGCGAGTCGAGACTCGAGAGCAGGTGTGCTCGTTGTCTCCTTCCTGCGTATGAAAATTCAGCTTGCACCCACTAAAATCGCCATATTATGAACATGGATGATTAATCATGTCCAGGTTCATGGAAGGCCTCTCGTTGCATCAGGTTTGTCTATGTTCATGATGCATCAGGTTATGAACATGTCTATGTTCATGAGGCATCATATCAGGTTTAAACTTATACAATGTCAAAAGCTTGACCTTATTTGTTGGTCTGTTGAGTTGAGCAGCTCGAGGCCAGCCTTTAAACCATTGTTAATCTACTTAGAGCAAGTTTAATAGTAGAGATAACTATGAGCTTATAGCTAATATTAGAGTTTAATGCAACTTTATATCACATTTATTACCGATGTTTCGCTATGGATCACCTTTTAACCAATATTTTTTACTTTGAACCAGATATTTTTACCTTTGTGGTATTTTAGACCACCCTCAACTTTTTTATTCATTTACATCCAACTCGTCGTATGCTAAAAAATGTCTTACATATAACTATGAGAGTTCATTGATGAGTAGGTGTCGACATACCTGAGATCGTTCATATGGTTGAGAAGAGAGACAAGTGGTCCAAAGTGAAAACATAGAAAATAAAAATATGGCTCAAGGTAAAATTTACTCTATAAACAATTCGACTTGGCATAAGTGCTCGCATTTACGACTTGTAGGCGATGAATCCGTCAATGCGATGACATGACAGTAAGACGTCTATAGTTCCTTCGTCAATCTTAAAATATGATGGTCCAGCCTATTAGAGATGCTCATAGAGATAGAGCATGCACATACGTGTTCATAGAGGTAGGTGTGTACTCATGTGAGCACCTGCGTTATACCCTATTTCTTTTATAAAAAAAATACTACTACCCCCGTTCTAAAATATAACAAATTCTATTTTGGGAGGAGTAGATTTGCCGACCCAATGATAATATACAAAAACCCAGGGTCCAAACCGAAAAAAAAGGTGTATCATGTTTTTTAACTATGGGCAGGTCATTCTATAGCGTAGTAGGCCCAGGTAGAAAGGCTGGCACAGGCACCCAGCAGCAGAGGGCCACACACACCTACGCCTACGCGGGGAAGAGAAGACGAGACAAGAAGAGGAGAGGAGAGAAGAGAATCTCGTGGAATTCTCTCCCCCTCTCCTCGCCTCTCCAAGAACCCACCAATCCTCCCCCCCTCCCCCCCCAACACTCCACTGGCGCCGCACAGCTCCGATCTTGCCTCCGCCGCCGCCTTCTTCCGCTCCCAATTCGGGCCCGAATTCGGTCCGGGGGGGGTTTCTTGGTGCGTCAGCGTTTCCCCCCCCCCCCCCCCCCCCCAAAATTTACTTTGCCTCTGTAGAGAGAATTCCCGGTAAATTTGTGCGTGTTTTTTTGCTTTCCGTGTTGAGATGTTATTGCTCTCGCTTTTGTTCCCCCAATGGAAAAGGGAAAAAATGCAAGCGAGGAGAGGAAAAAAAAAAGGGCTTCCTGAGGCTGACAGGTCGGGCCCACCTCCGCCGGAGATGGCGTGTGGCTTGCGCTGTTTGTGATGAGTTCTCTGGTGGTAGTAGGTTGGCATATACGGGGTGCTCTTTGCTTTGAGCATGGAGCTGCAATTCGCTTTGCTTTGATTTCATCTTTTTCTACTGTGCAATTGAAGGGCATCAAGAACATCATGTATCAAAGCTAATTTCATATGTCTGGCGATAGGTTGTGTGGGTTGCTCCCATGGAGCTCTTTACCTTTTTTTTGCCTGGTTATAAATTGAGAGCAAAATAAATAAATACTAATGGATGATAATTCGATTGATGCACCATGCAAGCTGTGGATGCAAGTATTCGCCTTAACTATGTATGCTGGCTGGTTTTCTGTTAGAGCTTTGCATCTACCATTTTTATGGGTCACTCTATTTGCCTAACCTTCCATGTAAAGCAGTATGGTATGATGAATCAAATTGGATAGATGTATTGGACAGCGTTGCACACGCTAGTTTTCTTGGTACAAATGGCATTTTCCTTGTCTATACTAGTACTAGTAGTTCTTTCCTCTGCAACAATGAAAACTTCCCTATGTAGTTAAGCTCACAAATTCTAGAAACACTTGTGACTGTCTTAGAGATGGACAGAAAACTGCCACTGCAACTTTGCACTGATTAGTTGTGTTTTTGTACTTTTATCACCGGCAAACATTGTTTGTGATCGCTGTTTGTAAAACTGATATCTGGCTCTCTGATGTATTTTTTCCCAGGTGATGATCATTGTATTAACCAAAACCTGAACCTAGTGTTGGCCCTACTGTAATAATTCAGTCACTTATCAGCAGCATATGGAATTAGGTGGCAACAATATGGGCCCAGATAATGGAGCAAACAACAATTCCAACTTGGCTGCAAGGCAACGCTTACGGTGGACAAATGAGCTGCACGAACGATTTGTTGAGGCTGTTACTCAACTTGGTGGTCCTGATAGTATGTATTCATACTGCAATTGTTGCAATTATGTTTTCATTTATTCATTTATTTGATTTTATCAAACTTATATAGAGACTGTTCTGTATGATGCTTTTCTTGGAGACAATAACTTTACTGCATGCATGTAATCATGCTCTCTTACCATTGAACTTATTAACTGTAAATTTCTGCTTCTGCTAACACTTGAATTCCTCAAATGCAACAGGAGCAACTCCGAAAGGAGTTCTAAGAATTATGGGTGTACAAGGGTTGACGATATACCATGTGAAAAGTCATTTGCAGGTACATCTTGTTACAGTGTGTCACTTTCCCTTTAATATTTTTTGTAGCTAGTATTTTTTTTATCCTATTTAATTCCCCTCCTGTTTCTAGAAATACAGGCTTGCAAAGTACATTCCCGACTCTTCAGCTGATGGTACGCGGACAATCTCTTCATCATGCATTGCATTTTTTAGTACTCTGGCATTCTTTTAGCTTATCCTAATTTTTGTCTCCTTGGTAGGTAACAAGGCTGAAAACAAAGACCCTGGAGATTTGCTTGCTGGACTTGAGGGATCCTCGTAAGTATACATAAGCCTAATTATTTCTCCGATATCATATCAGTCGTTTTGTAAAAAGAAAAAAGAAATGCTACTGACATACTGTTATGGTATGAAATGGAAGTATGCTGGTTTGCCACATTTTACCATTTACCAGTAAATCTACCATGACCAACTATTGAAATTATTACCATTGTTGTTTGCATGCTGCCATGCTGCTCGGCAAATATCGCTTTCTAGATTGTAGTCCCTCTGTAGTTGAAAGTATCAAGGAATAATAGGCTGCTGCTGGATTGAGATTGAAACTACTACTAGTATTTTACACATAATTTCTTCTGCCCACCATTTTTGGCTTTCAACATCCTCAAGAACATAAATCCTAGATACTAGAAAACAACAAAATATGTGAAATAACTTAAGTCTGATTAATATGCTTTTTCCTTTTAGTTGAAAAAATTAAGTCATTTGTTATTGTGCTTTCTATTTATCTTCTGTAAGATTTCAATGCCTATTTATCTTTTCAATGGACAGTTCCATTATGTTACTGTTCGATTGGTGCTGTTCTCCACCTCAATAGTCAATATTCATCGTGATATTTTTTTTGTACAGTGGCTTACAGATATCTGAAGCTCTGAAGCTGCAGATGGAGGTCCAAAAGCGTCTACATGAACAGTTAGAAGTAAGTTTTTGTGGAAGTTCCTTTCAGCATAAAATTGTTAGCTTCTAACATTTGTACTCCATCCTTATATATTTATTAAGCCTATTCCGAAGTTACTAAAATATTCCAAATCTATGCAAAGAAATTGTTCTGGATGCACATATTCTTCAAATCTTTGTGAAATATCCAGCAAAGAGCAGGCCCTAATGATATGATAAACATTCTCTTCAGGTACAAAGGCAGCTGCAGTTGCGCATTGAGGCGCAGGGCAAGTACCTCAAGAAGATCATTGAGGAGCAGCAGCGTCTCGGTGGAGTGAAATCTGAAACACCTGCTGCTGGTGCTTCCGTCACATTGCCAAGCGATCAGTTCCCTGATTCCGAAAGAACTGACCCCTCGACTCCTGCACCTACATCTGAATCTCCAACTCAAGGTGTACCTTCGAATAGGGACAATGGAGGACAAAACGAAGCAACCAAGAGCCCCCAGCGCGATGATTCTCTGTCCCGCCATGAACCACTAACCCCTGATTCCAACTGTCAGCCTGGTTCTCCTACCGCTAGTCCAAAGCATGAGAGGGCAGCAAAGAGGCAACGAGGTAATGGTGCAGAGTTCTCGGAAACTGACTTCGCCCTTCCTCATTCTATCTTCGAGTCGAGTTCGGGGTCAGAGTTCCAACAATGTTCCATGTCCTACTCAGGTCATTAGCATCTGGTGATACTCCTCACAGCATCTTCGCTAGCTTGTTCGAGACGAAGTAATGATCTAAGATCCGTGTTGTAGCTCTCAGTAGTATATTTCTAAGTCCCAATGGAGATGTTGGTAGACAAAAATGTTGTAGGTGTTCAGATGATTGTTTACATGATACTACATATGACAGCTATTTAAGCTTGTAATTTCGTGGCCTGTAAATTTTATTATCAGCTGTTGAGTTGGGAAGTTTGAAGGTTGCGCTTTGTCGCGGCGTCGACTTCTGCTCATCTGGGTAAATCTTTATTGACAAAAGTGTTTAACATGAACAATTTTTCGCGTGTAATTTGTTGTAAACTTGTAATGGTCAGTGGTCAGAAGCACAAGCTGTTGATGTTATGCTGTTACACTTGGATGTTACTATCATGGTTACTTTTCTCCATAATTTCTTGTGTTCTGTCCATAATTTCTGTGTGATTACTGGAAGCTTCTATTATGTGCTGATGGCATGTACTTCTTTTCGTCCCTAAAAAACAAATCTAGTATATAATATGACACATTCCAATATTACGAATCTAGATAGAGATATGATGGGGTATTCGAGAAAAGAGAAACAAAAGATATTCTTTACATCCTAAAATAAACCAACCTAAAATAAAACAAAATATTACTTAGCATAAGTAACGTTGTTCAGATTCTTAGGGCAAGTACAAAGGTAGATACCGATATGGTCTCTACGTTAATTAGAGGCTATCACGTTACAATAGTTAAGACAATACGGTCTCTAATCATTAATGTACCAAAATACTTTCTTACTAGTCATCTTTCCTTTATTAGACTCAATGCAATAAAAAATTTCCTAATAAATGCTAAGAGTCGACTCTATGCTGTTGTCATGCGTAGCAACCATCTTTCTCTTTTCTTCTTTCTCTCTCTTCAACATCACCAAATATGCTTGCATGACAATAAAGAAAGACCGCTAATAAAGATCATTGTACATGTCCTTACTACTAATGTATCTTATTCTAAGTTGATTTATTTTAGAATGGAGGAGTAGAGATATTGAATACCATTTCTGGGCTGGCTATCCTAAACTCCGGAGCCCAATTCGAATTCTCCTAAGAAATCCTATTTTTCTTGTTTTGGCGCGAAGCAAAGAAATATTGTTTTCCGGGGGGAGAAATGGCGGGAAGGGACCAACTTAGCACGCCATTTTGGCGCCAATCGCCCAGAAAAAAAAAATCTCTCCTCTCTTCCTCCTTCGCTTTCGCCTTCGCCTTCGCCTCCACCCGCGGCCGGCGGAGAGAAGAAGGCGGCGGGCCGGCGGGCGATGCAGATCCGCGTGCGGTGCGGGTGCGGCGAGGCGGGGTGCCCGGAGTGGGCCATCGTGGAGGTGCAGGGCGTGGTGCAGCCACAGCCGTGCTTCTCCGGCCGCATCCAGGGCCTCCACATCGGCCGCCTCTGCGCCGCCGCCGCCCCGTCTTCCAAGGCAAGAACCCACCTCCGCCGGCGGCGGTCTTCCACCCCACTCCCTCCCGGTCCCGGCCATCTCACGTTTCGATTGATTCGGATGTGCAGGCGGCGTTCACCTTCACCGTGGGGTACCATGAGCTCGCCGGCACCAAGGTGGCGCTCAAGAAGCCTCTCCTCGTGCTGAGGAAGAAGAAGACGACGGCGGTGGCGGCGGAGACGGAGCTGGAGGTGATCGGCGTGATCCGGCACAAGATCCTCTTCAAGGACCGGCCCAAGGCTCTCATCTCAAGTAATCGATCTACTACTAATCCTTCGATCCATTTTGAGCGTTGGAATATAAATTGAATTTTCCGTCTTTTATCATCAACTTAAGCTTCTGGGTAGGACTAATCGTGCATGCAACACAACTCAACATGGTATTACAACCAGAGGTCTTGAGTTCGAATTCTGACTAGTACGCAATTAAATAATGATTATAGTCCATTTTGATTCCAAACTAGAGGACTATTCGATGCATACGACTCAATATTGATGGAAGTTGATTTCTTTTTTTTTCTTTTTTTTTTTTACAGAACCGCAGGTGAAGGAGAAGAAGACTCTGCCGCTACCGGCGCCGGCGGCGGCGCCACCACCCCAATCATCGTAGCACCTGTCCACCTGACGCCGATGCGATCAAGAATTCAAGATCAATGAAAACAGTCGCCTTTGCTGCTGCTGCTGCTGCAGATTTAGGGTGAATGGTACACTAGTCATTATGGTTCTAAGTTTGTGTTCTTGGGAAATCAATCTTTGGATTAGCATTGTGATCGTTCTTTCTCTGTACCATATGCCTCTCTCTGTTTCTTTGAAGCGCATCCCAAAACTGAAACGATAATATCATCGTCCGATTTCTCATCCTACGTGGTGATTTATGATTGTTACCTTGTTGTCGATGTTAGCTTCAGAATCACGATTTGCTGTCGATGAAATTCTCGATCATGGACCAGACGATCCTAATCAGAGCAAGTTTAATAGTATAGCCGAGTACTAGCTCCAATTGATCTATAGCTAATTTAATAGCTCATTCATACAATAGTTACATACTATACTATTAACACCTGGTCCCACATGTCATACACACACTGTGTCTTGAAGTCCGTGCTCCAACTGGCTATAAATCTGTAGCCCGCTGCTTTTCTCTCTCCTCATTTATCTTCTTAAAATATATTTACAGCTGGCTTATTTATCTTCTTAAAATATATTTGCAGCTAGCTTATTTATACCTGCTTTTGTACCTGCTCTCGTACCCACTGGCCACTAGATGTCGGAAACTGTCATCCAAAATTTCACTCAATTAACACTTCACTTTCCAATTAATTACCTAATCCTTTCATGCCACGTGGCGTGGCAGAAAGCCCCATAATTCTACGTCCAATATAATGTCCACAAACAAATAAATTATTATGCTATTAATTTCATGTCCATGAATTCAGGGAAAGTCCGAAAGAATTCTCAATCAGAGCAAAAGAATACATTGAATTCAGAGAGTCCGAAAGAATTGTCAATCAGAGCAAAAGAATACAAAACAGGTTTGATGACAAAGGCTAATGTCGCCTTCCTAGTGTCAGCAGCAGAAACGACTTAATCAAATCATAAAGAAAAAAAATGTGTGGTGTCTACTATATTGTATGCATATAAACAGAAATGGCGTGCTCATCTTTCTTGTCTCACCAACCAACCACAACTTTGGCCATGATAATTTTCAGAAGAACTTGAAAAGCCAAATGGCCACCAGCCAACCCCTCCATATAATATATATTTATAAAGAATCTGAATAAATGTCCTTGTATTATCCTTCCTATTTACAGCTTCTATTCACAGCAGTGATCTTCTCACCCTTTCTAGGGTACAATCATAGCTGGAGAGCAGTAAACTACTTTTCCTGAAGCTATCCTACCATCAATGGATGCTTTCTGAATTCAGCGTAGGAGAAAGCCTCCTAGCTCTTCTACCATTGATTCATGAGCAAAATGCTACTACCCTACGATTTTTTTTTCTGCGTCTTGTGATGTATTATGATTTCTTCCCCTTTTTCTTCTCGTTAAGGTCAGTGACCAGCTGATGACTCTCGAGAAGATCTGAAAGTGTAATCTTCCCACAGTTTCCTGAGTCCATTCTTTGGAATTGGTCACAGATCATCATTATGTCTTTTTCTGAAATTTTGCCCATCTCCTTGAGCTTGTAAACTACAAATTCCGATTTCCTGAACAGAAAAAGTGATGGTTAGAACAATAATCCATACAGCTAGAAGAAGCTGTATTCTTCAGAGATTATGACAAGCAATAAAATTCCATGCTATTACAAGAAGATAGCACTCAACTATTGTGGCAAATTCAGTGATGATCAATACATAGCATTGCTAACATTCTATTAAGCTATTATCTAACTAAAAGTGATTGCAATCTATGTGTCGATGTGGATTGTGAACACATTTATACCGCAGGCTTGTAGCAATAATATGTGTAAAAAGTGCTATAAAATAAAATGCTATGCAAAATTTAAGTGAACGAACTATTTTTAGGCTTGTGGTTGCATGCTGTAGCTACTCCCTAATAAGTCTGGTAGTGGAGATTAGAGTGATCATTCTAAGTGAGATAAATTTGTGCAGATAACCTCGTAAGCATTTCAAGAAAAAAAAACTGCCTTTTGCATCCGCACTAAATTAAAAGCACATGCTGTCAACATATGTAATCAAATGCCACTTTAAGAGAGCTGATCAGTCTGGCACAATCAATGTACTATGAAAATGTTTTTTTATTAGCTTATATTTAGTTCTCACAGGCTATGTGCAACTGATGTATTATTGTTATCTTGGGTTGCTAAACAAGGCTAAGTGCCAACCTTTTTGTGAAACCACACTAAAAACTTTTTGTTTTCTGGATATTTGTAAATACAAATTAGTTTGATGCAAATATTTCATTAATCTCCAGAAACTCAATCTAACACATCAAGCAAAATACTCCCTCCGTCCCTAAATATAAGGGATTTTGGTCGGATGTGATGTATTCTAGTACAACAAATCTGAACATAGGATGTGTCATATCCAACCAAAATCCCTTATATTTAGGGACGGAGGGAGTAGCAGCTAAATACGGTTCAAATCAATGAGCTAAAAAGTCTTTATAACAGTAGCTATTCAGGCATCAGAGGCTAGCTGTACATGCAACTGATTTATTATTGTGGTCTAAAATGTTGTGTTGGAATAGCAACTGAAATCCTGGGTTGCTAGAGAAGGCAAAGTCCCCACATTTTCTTTTATGAAACCACAGTAAAAGGTTTGCTTTTTCGAGGTATTTGTAAACACAAATCGATTTAATGCACATATCTTATTAATATCCATAAACTCAATAGAGTATTGTTAACACATCAAGCAAAAGACCAACAAAATACAGTTCAAATCAATGAGCCAAAAAGTGTTCCATCTGTTTCACAATATTTGTCCAGCCACCTTCTGGACACAGAGGAGAAATATAAGATCATGAAAGAAGCAGGTTCTACCTTATTATTTATTAATTCAAATGCTCTCCTACACAACACATTCTTACAACTTCAGATGTTAGAATTTCTAATCATCGAATGTCATAATCCTGTATTGACAAATTGTCAAGCTCTTTCGATTTGGCATATTTTAAGTTTTAATAGCCATATAATTGCACAATATATTTTCATTGCTCATACTGAGATGTATCAAGAAACAAGAAAAAGAAGATTCCATTCCACTGATGGGCTACACAACGAATTTGTTAGTCATTCATTTTGTATGCCATCAGAAAAGAAGTTGCATGAATTCATGATCAACATAAATGGTACTGCTTCTGTCCCGTGTTCCCGAATACATGCCAGTTAAATGCACATGATCAAAATTTTAGAATTAGCTACTTTACATTCAGAAAGGTAATTCTTTTCAGAGCACATTTTAATTTCTCTTGTAGTATGACATATCCATGTATCTAAAACAGTGCCCAGTCTCCAAGCACAAAATTCTTCAACACTTCTCATACCTACAATTTCAGTAAATTCAAAATTCCAATACTATAAAACTCACATATCCAGTACTAAGCCAAGAGTTTCTTTCCCAGTTTCCCCATTCTGATTTCTTATTTATCTTATGAACAGGCGTTCTGAATTCCCAAATGCAATGTACAATCCACACAACCCAATAATCAACCATGCAAATTGTGAGCCTGAAAAAAAAAATCAATACCCACATATACTAGAATCTCAGGCATACGCAGATCGAAAAGACTACATTTGTAGTGAAAAGAAAGTATTCTACAACTATACATAAGGAAGATAAGGTAAAGCCTACGTAATGAGACATAGTGTTCAAAAGAAAGCATACAGAACTAAGATGCTAAGTTCCTTTAAGAGACCTTATTAATTCTAAACCGAAAGTCCTTGCTCACTATTCCATTTGTTCCTCCAATAAATTAGGTTTCTGTTCCACCTTACATTAGTTGTAACAAAATTGCATCATACTAAAATGAACCATAGTATACTCCAAGAACTAGAGAGCAGCAGACACAATATGTCAACACCCAACAACCTAGTGAACAAGCAGTGTTAATGATTGATTCTCCAACTAGCACATGTTGCTTAATGTTCGGAAATCCTATACCTTGCAAAGTCTCTAATTTGGATGTTCAAACATCTATTTCAGTTGTAAATTGCTAGATCATCATCAGCAAGGACTAAGAAGTATCTGTGCACATATTTTCTAAAAATCAGGTAAATGCAGGCAGGTAAAGAATAGCTAAGGTATCGGAGACTTACGTGACATAACCGTTGTTGTCGATATCCGCAGCAAGAAACTCTGACACGGTCATGTCTCTCGACAGCACCCAGTTAGCCATAGCGCGGTGCCTCTTGTCAATCCTCATCTCCGCTAAGTAGAGGAATGCCCTTGCAACAGCAAGAGTCGACACGAGCAGCCACGCGGATGCAAAGAGCCGTCCAGCCAGTGTCCGGAACGCGTGATCGCCATACCCGACGGTGGTCACCGACATCACAGCAAGGTAAACGGCATCGAGCCACCCCAAATTCTCGACCCTCTTGAGCACCGCGGCACCGACCCCCACGCAGATGGCCACCACGGTGAGCGCAAGTGCAACCTTCATGCGCACACGCATCCGGCCCTTCTTAAGATCAAAGATGTAATTGTGCCGGTGCTTGCGCACAGAGCGGGGGTTCTTGAGCGCCGTGATGAGGAGGTGCTCCTGAAGGTCAAGCACATAGGACACCATGCCGGATAGGAGGATGTCAACAAAGCCAAACCCGATGAGGACGAAGGAGATTGAGAAGAGCTTCGCGGCGGGGGTCGCCGGTGTGATGTCACCGTAGCCGATGGTGCAGAGAGTCACTATGCAGAAGTAGAGCGCGTCGGCGACGGGGTGGGTAGGGCCGGCCGAGGAGGTGAAGTTGCCCGGCAAGGCGGCGTAGAAGGTGACGCCCATGGCGAGGTAGGCGAGCAGGAAGAGGAACGCGTGCAGCACGATGGCCGGCCGCCGTGGGGGAGGCGGCGGGTTCCGGCTGTCCCCCGAGGCGGCGGCCGCGGCGATAGCCGCCGCGTTGAGCGGCGCCATGGCCGGCGCGGTGCGCGAGCGGTGGAGGTTCGTGCGCCCCCCGATGAAGTCGAACAGCGACGGCGGGTTCGGCGGCGGGTTCTCCTCGTCGGAGGGAGGGGAAGGCGAGGACGAACACGACGGCACGTCGAGGTCATCCCCGGACACACGCCGGTAGTACCGCCTCCCCCGCGGCGGGGGCGGAGGCGGCGGCGGCGGCGGCGGCGGCGGCGGCGGGTGCGCGCCGAAGATGATCCGCTCCTTGTACGAGGACGCCGGGGAAGGGCAGGGCGAGAGGGGCGGCGAGAAGGTGGACACCTCCGCGTGCTCCGGCAGCGGGTGGAGCAGGTGCGGCGACGGCGACAGCGGCGACAGCAGCGGCTCCGTGTCCATGGACGAACACCTTGCGGGGGTTTCTTGATTCTCCACGGAATCCGGCGGTTTCTTCGAATCCGGCAGCGAGATTTCCTCGCAAGATTCTCGCGGGCCTAGGGAGAAGCAGATTGGGGATCGGATTGGTCGGATTCTTGGGGTCCCCGGTGGCCTCCGGCGATGCGAGGAGGAGGAAGACGATGAGATGGGGGAGAGGCTGGCTGCGGAAGACGGCGACGTCTACTTGACGACGGCGAAGTATTTTTCGCTTTCTTTTTTTTTTGACTGAATTTTTCGACTTCCCTTTTCGGTTTGATTTGATTTTGATTGTGATAAATCGATATAAGTAATAAATATATTTTGAAACGATATCGATGGATGAAATAATTTAATATTCCGTGTGCGGCTGGAGATACGAGGAAATAAATAATGAGAGGGATGGGATAATGGATCATCAGCGGCGTGCGGCTCCGGGACATCAGATCAGATGGATGGCAATGCTTTATTTTCTGAAATTTGTTTAAACGGCACGATACGAAATGTGGGATGTTTGTCTGCAAGTTTTGAAATTTCCAATGGTTTTTGTTGTTAAAATCTTGAGTTGTACATCGTCCGAAGTCAAATATGCCATAGTAAATCCTTTGGAGATTTTAGTGTTTTTATGAAACGCGGAAAATCAAAAGTTCATTTTAAATACCTCCAAAAATCTTTAATTTTAAAAGCGATATCATTCTCCCCATTAGTACATATCTCTACTGTTTAAAACTTCTTTCCTTCTTACCCTAATTCCACATATTAAAAGAAAAGTAAAAATAGCTAATTGACATTTAAAATTTATGTAATTTTGCTAGTACACATTATAAAAACACGTCAAGGCTAAAAGACATTTTAAATAATTGATAATTTTCTGGAGCATATTTTCGACTCAATTGGAGAGAAAATTATTCAAAAACATGAGAATACCCCTAGGGTAAAAAACTTTTGAGCTAAGCCTAAAGTGAAAATGAAATATGATGTATATTAGTGATGTATTTAGGGTGATGATAGATTTAGAGTTACATGATTTCTAAATTTTTACTCTAATGCCATGTGTTGAAGCATGTGGTTTTAGGGCATTCTCGTCTTTCTTTAAGATTTTATCTCTCCAACTGGCCCGAAAGTGTCCATTAGCAAATCACCAATTTTAAGATGTCTTTTAACCATGACATGCTTTTTCTATGTTTATCCGCACATTAAAAAAAACTGGGTGCTCTATAGTAAAATTTACCTATAAAAATATGCTAAAATGATGCAAAATAAACTAACCAACCGAGAGAAGATAAATGGGAGAAAACAAAATAAAAATTGAATCATGTTCACCATATCTCACCCCATTGCAACCCAAGTGCATATGACTAATGTTACATAAACAGATCTTATATGAGCTAATTTCCGTTTTCCCTTTCCCCCTCTGTTTCTATTGGCTAGAATTTAGATCTCAAATTATCATAACCCATTAACCAGGTTGGATACATCTTAGCATCGACGCAACATTACCTAACATGTGGTTTTGAATGGGACAACAGTTCAAATGGACCACATAGGTCTAGGAGCCTGCAATAAAAGAAAATTAAGTGTACTCATTATATCTAAGTAATGTTAAAACTTAATTTTGAAGATGATTTTAAGATATTTTCAACGCACCTTTTATTTTACATTGCTTTTGAAGTTATTAAAATTTTGACACACAAATTTTTTTTCTTGCTAATAAGCCGTGATGGCTTAGTACCAAATTTTGGCAACCGGTGGAGAATTTAGACTATTTACCATTCAATTCGTATGCCTTTTAACTTTTTTACCACCCAATTCGCGTGCCCTCTATAATATGTCATTAGGACTGCTAATTGCTCTACTTGGTACCACTTTCTTAGTTTTTCATTTATTTCTCATTTCTTAATCCCATTTGTATTTTTTCTCAAACTTTGTGGACTGTTTTGCCCCTGGGCCCACTGTCAGATGAAAGGAAGAGAAATCCTCTTCTCTGGATCGAGATCCCTCTAGTCTCGTCTCCGTCTTCGCTCGGCTTGGCCGTGAGCACCAACCTCGTCGCCGCCGTTCGCCGCCGGGCGCTGCCAACCCCGCCGCCGGGCGCCGCCACCAAGCGCCGCCGCCGGCACTCGACGCCCCCGCAGCCAGGCGCTGCCACAAAGCGCCGACGCCGGCAGTCGACGCCACCGCCCCCAACACCCTGCCGCCAAGCTGCGCCACCATTCTGCTGTCGTGCGCCGTCGCCGCTGTTGGGGGCCCAGAACGGACACCCCACCATCCCCAGCTGCCCTAGCCAGCCCCTGGGACTTTGTATCGTCCCCAGCTGCTGCCATAGCCGATCTCTGGTCCCTGGGACCTTGTATTTACAGGACAGAGAGCTGGGGGCGGCGCCAGGGTGCGGTGGTCAGCGGCGGGGTGGCGGCGCTCGGCGGCGTGGGGGCGACGCTCGGCGGCGGGGTGGTGGCGCCCGGCGACAGAGGTGCTCGGCGGTGGGGTGGCGGCGCTCGGCGGCGTGGGGGCGACGCTCGGCGGCGGGGTGGTGGCGCCCGGCGACGGAGGTGCTCGGCGGCGGAGGAGCTCGTCGCGCTCGGGCTAGCGCTACAGCGAGAGATCGATCGATCCAGAGAAGAGGATTTCTCTTCCTTTCATTTGACAGTGGGCCCAGGGACAAAACAGTCCATAAAGTTTGAGAAAAAATACAAATGGGATTAAGAAATGAGAAATAAATGAAAAACTGAGAAAGTGGTATCAAATAGAGCAATTAGCAGTTCTAATGACATATTATAGAGGGCATGCGAATTGGGTGGTAAAAAAGTTGAGGCACGCGAATTAGGTGGTAGATAATCTAAATTCTCCAACCGAACTGGTGAGGCCTTGAATCTGGTGACCTTGGGCATGCCTATTTGTGATATGACTGATTTTGAATTCATAACATAATTTAGAATTACTTTAGTGTTTTTATCTGAACTGAACAAACAAATCTTTCATCACTACTTTTTTTTAAAGATAATGGAATAACCGGCCTCTACATCTAGAGACGGATGTATACAACCAACCAAACTTACAATAGTTCTTAGACTCATCCCCTTACATAAGGAGAAAGACAACCAAAATTTTCACACAAGTACTTAGACTCAACTAACAACAATACCACATAACATCTTGCACAATGCAACAAAAAGCATAAAAAGCAACATCCAAACAAAGAAAAGTCTTAAACTTCCAATCTTCCTCTTTGATTCCACCCATATTTAGCAAAGAAATCTAACATTGTCAATTCCAGCTTCCTACACGCGTCTTTCACAAGTTGACCATCTCCTGTTGAATAGTCACACATTGGTTATGAAAGAGCAAAGGACCTAAAATATAAGTGGGGGAATCCCTTACCTCAATGGTTAGCTTTTGGGGTAGGAAAGACCCTTTACGATCCTACAATTGGTATTAGAGTATGGCTAATTTAACATCTCTGGCCCGATGGACACAGTGTGTCAAGGCCTGATGGATCGTGGGTGCCTGCGGGGCCCGTATACCTGATGGACCGTGGGCGGGGCCCGTATACAGTGAAGGGGCGATGAAGGGCTGAGGGACACTAATGTGTGAAGGGAGAGATTGTTGAATAGTCCCACATTAGTTGTGGAAGGGAAAAGGACCTAAGATATAAGTGGGGGAGCTCTCACCTCAATGGCTAGCTTTTGGGGTGGGAAATGCCCTTTATGATCCTACATCTCCCTCTTTAAGAAGCAAGGACCATTCCTGCGCCCAGAATGTCTACCTGAAAATTACCTGCAAAAATAAGTTAGCTTTGAAGCTATTAAAGACCACATCATTTCTACATAACCAAACCGCCCAACATAAAGCCGCAACACCAACAAGTATTTGAGCTCTAAGCCTAGGAAGAACTCCATAAAACCAATTACCCAAAAGATTAGCAACATTAGTAGGCAGGTGGATTCCAAAAGCTATAAAAATAGCATTCCAAACAAATCTAGCCAAAGGGCAATCAAAGAAAAGATGTTGAATTGTTTCATTTGAATTACAAAAGTAACACTTAGTGCTATCCTCCCATCCTCTCCTAGCCAAATTGTCCTTTGTTGGAATGACCTCTTTCCTTAGGTACTATAAATTTTTTTTTGATTTTCAATGGCAACATTAACTTCTATATCACCTCTTTTCTTGGTACAACATCACGATATATGATGGCCTTGTACATCAAATTAACAGATAACATACCTTTTTTATGTACCTCCCAAACAAAAGAGTCATTTTGTTATGTCTATGTAACCATCAAAACTTTTGCCACTACCTCCAACCAATCCTTAAGGTTAACCACCACAGTAGCCCTTCTAAAAGACACATTAAGCGGTCTTTTTCCCATGAGTACTGCCACATAAGCGTTTTTATTTCTCACTTGGTTATACGACCTAGGGTATTCATTGGCCAAAGAGATGTTCCTACACCAACTGTCCTCCAAAAATCTCACTTGGGTCCCATTGTGAACCTTTAAGGATCCACATGAAAGAAAAGCGTTCTTAGACGCCATAAGTCATGATCAAAAGGGAGAGTCCCCGGGTTGTTTTTTCACTTGAGTGAAAGTTTTTTTTCATCAAATATTTCCTTTTCAATAAATTCTGTCAAATCACATCCTCATTCAACAAAAGCCTGTACAACCATTTACTAAGTAGACATTTGTTTTGCAATTCTAAATCTTGTATCCCTAAACCTCCACATTCCTTAAGTTGGCATAAATGCTCCACCTAGCCAACCTATATCTTTTCCCGTGTTCATCACATTGCCAGAAAAAAAAAGGAATCTATAATAGTCCAATTTCTTGAGAATACCTTTAGGAACCTCAAAGAAAGACAACATGAACATAGCTATCCCGCTTAAAACGGAATTGATTAAAACCATTCCCCCCCCTGAAAGATGTTTTACTTTCATAACTACTTAACTTTTGCTCTTCTAAGAGAAGTATTAAAAGTTTTATTCTTTTTTTCTTCAATCATATATCATGTTTGCATGAATCTCCAATCGTTTAAATTGAACTCTTGGTCTTAAATAGGGATTCTATAGTCACACGATCGACTCCTTTTCGTTTGTTATAAACTAATCAGCAATATAACTCTTTGCTCATGTCACCACTTTACCTACTGTATCTACAATCTTACACCAAAATTTTGATATATAAAATCAGTGACATTTGTGATTCGTGACCAATCAACTTTTCACAGTACTGTGGAATTGGCTGTCCAACAATCTGGCTACTGTTGTTGATGTCAAGATTCCAAGTTTCCAACCCAACACAAAACGAAAGCTCCTGATCCAATGAAGGTTCCAAGCATGGAAGACAGAAAAAAATAAACCGTGTGGTTGTGTGCATCACAGCACATGACTACTCATGCTGTCATCCAACAGTTTAAGGATGCATTAGAGAATCTAATTCCTATCATTAAGCAGAAACTCTCGGCGTTATTATGATTTAAGAATTTGCTGATGATGCCGGTGATGGCGATGGCATGTGTGCATGATGGCTGTTTTTGCTTGTGCACTTGAGCAAGCTGGACAAAGACACAAAAAAGTGTTGGCATGTGAGTGGATGGGGAACTGTTGCCTATTGTCTTGGAACGTCCAGCGAAGGTGTGGGTTTCTCTGTCTTCTGTATGATGAAATGAGACCTTTAAATTGTTAAGTATATTTTGAGGTAATATTAGTTGTGTCTCATGGTAGATTCGTAGAGGGCTTGAGATATAAACCACTTTCATTATTAAAGAAATACAATACAGGGGTTCTATTTTTTTTTCTCTAGGAAAGGATGCTTGGAAATGTCTTGTTAATTATGATTTATTGTGCAGCTCCCTGGATGGAAAGATTGTTAGCCATTGTAGGGATTATCTATTTGATTATAGGGATAGATTAAATATTTCAAATTATAAACTTCATAAGTAGCTTAAAACAAGTGGTCAAAATTGAATAGAACTTCTTTAAAAAAACATATTTCTTTTGAAGCTTTAGAGCAAATAATTTAAATTTCAATAATCCGATGAAATAATATGAAAAGAATAGGGCGTATATTGGGACATATACACAGATTCAACAAATAATGTTATAATCAAACTTTATTAACTTTGAACAAAACAATACCAGAAATAGTATTTGGAATTGTGGTATTTTTCAAATTGTTTTATATAATTATTTTTTACTAAAATATGTACATAAAAAAACAAAGGTCAACAATGCTTTTTAAGACCATCTAGATATATAATCTTTATATACAGGATTATTTTCCGTGAATCATGCTAGATTTTCTTATGCGTATGCAAGTTGGCGATTTCGGAATGTAGGAACATAGAGGTCATCATGCAGTAGTTCTCTACGAGTACTTTTGAACTGTTCAAGCACAAATCACAAATCACGATCGTGGCATCAGGAAACTGACATAACATAGCCTAAAAAACCCTTGTTTGTATTTAACCCTCATTTGGCAATAGGAGGTGTAATTATCCGTTCTCCGAGCAGTTTGGTTTGCCGAGTGTAATTTTTTTTTGACATTTGCCAAGTGTAATTTGGATATGATAGGAGCCGTATTAAGGCCCGGTTTAGTTCCTCAAAAGTTTTTTCCAAAAACATCACTTCAAATCTTTAAATGCATGTATGGAGCATTAAATATAGATTATAAGAAAAACTAATTACACAGTTAAGAGGAAAATCGTGAGACAATTTTTTGAGCCTAATTAATCCATGATTAGCCATAAGTGCTATAGTAACCCACATGTGCTGATGGATTAATTAGGCTAAAAAGATTTATCTCGCGGTTTCCATGCGAGTTATGAAATTAGTTTTTTCATTCGTGTCCGAAAACCCCTTCCAACATCCAGTCAAACATCCGATATAACACCTGAAAATTTTTAACATGATAGATAAGAACCACCCAATCAATTCAAATTCTACTGCTGCTGACAAGGACACAAACCATTGGAAATGTCAATGCATGATGATGGCTCTAGAGACTAGTGTCATATTATTCATTTCCTGTTTTCATCTCCAAGATTGTGACTCCATCAGCAATAAAACAAGAGGGAAAAGTAACCAACTCGAGGTTGAATTGGCTAACTGTTGACAGTATGTTAATCCACTAGACGAAAATCCAAATTACCAGTAAAATTAAGTCTTGCATGATATACCCAACAACCGGTGAGACGAGTTGGATTCCAAACCAATATCCTTAAAATTAATTCCCAGTTCCAGGTGGACAGCATTCACGGTAAAATCTTACATGAAAAATACTCCCAAGGTACATAGCACATTTAATCAGAGCTTAGTGGTCTAGTTCATCGAGAAGTCCGAAGATATAAACTGTCATCAGGCTAAGACAGACAATGTGCAACCGCATCCAACAGAAATAGCTGAAGCAGCATAGCTATCCAGCAACAAAACAGAAGTATCGGAAAACCAAAAATCGGCATGCAGCGTGTGATGATCCTGGCATGAAGTATTCACCTATAGCGATCACGGTCACGCTCGGCTCCTCGCTCCCAGCTCCTCTCATAGCTGTGGTCTCTGCCCCTGTCCCTCCCTCTTTCCTTCTCACGGTCTCTACTTCTACTTCGGCTTCGGCGCCGCTCTCTCCCATGACTGCCTCTATCTCTGTTCCTGCTATCCCGTTCATTGTAGTCATGGTCTCTGCCTCGATCTCTGCTCCTTTCCCTGCTTTCTCTTCTAGTTGAACCTATAATGATGATGGAAAAATATTATCATGTACAATACAAAAAGGGGGTAAATCAGATTTCTGTGCCAGAAAGTAATTTGTTTGTCCAGAACTATGTGTATCTATTTTGTGATTTGTTGAAGTGCACAAGTACAAATCATAAAGTAGGTGTAGTTTGAACTTATCCTATGTTAATAAGCATAGCAAATGTTTAGTCCTCTACAAAAATAATTTACCAAGAACATGTGATAGGACTACACACAAATTCAAACGGAATTAATTAACAAAAGAAACTGAAATGAGCATGTAATACCACGTTGCTCAACCTCCCATCCAGCCCGTCCAGACCCAGGAAGGGTTGGTGCATTTTCAGTTTGCTGTGTTTTAGCACGGAATTTCTTTTTGAGGTTGCCAAATTCATCATACATCTCCCCGTCATCCTATAACAGGAAAAAAAACATTTAGATGAAAACTCATGACTTGACACATGGGACATCAAATAACATGTCCCACCTCTTCAGCCTCTTTGCGGCGCCTTTTAACTTCCTCTAGTTCTTCTTCATCAAGTTCTTTATACCCACCACCCCGGCCTCCTCTGCAAATAAATGTAATTGGTGAGAAAAGTCTCATGATTGAAAGACTTACAATTTCATGTATAATAATTAACAATTACATGAGTTGATTTTATGGGTAATGCAACCACATGCACTTCTCATTTTACCATGCCTTTTTGTACAATTTTGTGTTAAAAATTCTATGTTGAGTGTAAAGATTAACAGAAAGGAAGTCAATCAAAAGTAAAGGAAAAACTTTGCATCATAATAATCTTCCTTTTCATGTTTATTTCGATACTTGAGTTTGAAGTTGAATTTCAAAGGTGCTAAATCATCAATAAATGGGGAACGTTTCCACTGATGGTGCCCCAACTATGTTGTCATAACAACATACTGCAGTACTGCACCCAATTGTGTTGTCATAACTCTATATTACAACTGGCAAAAGGTGCACCGTGTGACTGTCAGCTAGGTGCACTAATTGTCATCACCACAGGTTCACAGACAGTCATGCCAAACAAATAGGATAAAATGCAACAGCATATCGCTCTAATTTGTGTCTAGTGTTGCTCAAATGAGACCAAAAGCCCAAAACTGTTTACAAGAAAACAGAGTAGCACTGTAGTTACCATGCTATTCGTATGTGCCAAAAATGAAAAAAAAAAGAATGCCAATGAGTAACTGTGTAACCAGTTTTTGAGGCAACTACATTCCAAAGTCTGCCAAATTATAGCCAAAAATCAGTCACCACAAACCAGGGTGTGATGAGTGTACTCTAATTTAGACATGAGCAGGACAGGTAAATGTAGTGCTTTGCTTTACATAAATTGCTCACCATAGTTCATGCCAAAGCAAAGGCAAATAATACATTTCGACTATTTAACTGGCAAAGCAATGAACATGCCACATGCAGGTTGTGCATGTCTTACCTCACACCACCTTCATTGTGACCTGGCTTAGTGGTGTTACAGATATTACATTTCATCCGCTTTGCCCAATTTATGTTGCCACACCTGGAAAACATTAAATTATTTATCATCACATATGCGGTTTTATAATATAGTACATGGTACAACCATGATGCTTTTATTACTGTTGATCAATTTAGTCAATACATAATATTAGTACTACAATCCCATAGGACTGAGGAGACACCAACAGGTCATCATCCTAATGAAGTTACAAAATATTTGTGTTAATGGAAATAACGGTTTGACGAAACATTATTGAAAAGCTTAGACCCCATAGTAGGTTAGTAACAAGAATGAAAGATTACAAGGTCACCATTCACTAATAACTACTCCCTCCATCCCACAAAGACATCATTTCTAGCGATTTTCAGACAAATTAGTAGTAGGGAGAAAAAATGTCTATGGTACCCCTCATTAATACTCTTGGTTGTATTTCCTAGGCTCCAATTAAATGTGCGTGCATTAGCTTGATTGGCTGCAACATATAGAAATGAAGTCTTTGTGGGACAAATTTTGAATGCTAGAAATAAAGTCTTTGTGGGACGGAGGGAGTATATTGCAAAATTGATTTTCAGTCACTAAAGTTTAAGATGATTGAGTTATAACACCTATGAAATTTAAATTTCTAACAGCTTGATTACCAACATTTAGTGCTTCTCCAAAATTCCTGCATAAACACAGGGTAGAAATAATATTGAAGATTTGAACAGGCATAAATAGTCATAGAGAGCACAGCACAATTGGGTTCATCAAGCAGGCATGCAACAGCTAATAACAAATACAAATAAGGTAAGGACAGAAGAAGTCATGAAACAGCAAACTTATGTGGGTATTCTTACATTGGGCATGACCAATCATTTGGACCAAACAGTCCAGGAGGACCACCAACAGCAGCAGCACGGCTGCCTCCTTTTGCATCGTCACTTCCACGGCCTCTACCCCTACCACCACCACCGGCACCTGATCCACTAACACCGGCAGGGCGAGCAGCTCCACAGCGATTACAGACACCACGAAAGGCAAAGTTTACATTGCCACAACTGGGAGAGGAAGCAATATCAGACAGGATTTTGAATACACGGTGATGACCATACTACTATAGTAGTCAGCAAAAGAAATTAAGTGACAGGGAAGCCTCTTACCAATCAAAACAGACCTTGTATTTGGGCACAGCCAATCCCCATCTTGCTGCCAGGCTTTTCCTGGACCATCACCGTGCCCTCTCCCTCTGCCTGCCCCGTTGTCCAATTCATCTTGTCCACCAAGGCCAGCAGAGTTGTTCAAACTCGCCGAGTTGTCATATGTGTCTTTGTTTTTTGACTCAGCTATATGGACCTGAATGGTGCTTCCATGGAAATCCTTGTTATTGAACCATTCTACTGCAGCTGAAGCAGCATGTGGGTCTTCATAGGTGACTGTCGCGTCACCCTTTGGTTCATTGGTAACCTTGTCCCTGTAAATCCAGATTTTTGGACGACCGGTCCTTTTATCCTTCTGTTGAGATCAACAACAGAAAATGACTAATTACCATGAAAATGAAGCGACAAAGGCTTGAAGAATCTTTTAATCAGCTACAAAAATGTTGCCTGGGAAGACCCCCATCCATACCTTCAGCAACCCTATGGTGCCAAAATAATCGGCCAGCATGGTCTCATCGGTTCCAGGAGGCAGATTGCACACATAAACAGAGCCATTTGGGGGGCCTCTTGACATATACCCAGCCATCTCCCAACTGATAGCCCAATTACAGAAAATTAGTACCATTATTATTTAAATCGAGCCACTGATCCTTGATGCAATATTACTAATAATCAACAGTAAACTAAAAAGGGCAAGTACTACAAACTAATCCAACAATGAAAGGCCATACATATGAACAATCAGTAATAAGGAGTATAACTTAAAACGAAGCATCGAAGAGTCTTATATTTCATCATGAACAAGTCAAAGTGTAATAACTTCAACCACACACATCATATCAGCTGTCGACTAGCAGGACCCCCTAACAGAATAAAATTCCGCGCAGCTCAGAGCCGCCCTAGCCACAAACCCTAGATCGCGGAGAGCACGGTCGACCAACCCAACCCCCCACGCGAGAACCCTAGCGCACCAGAACACCAGATCGCTCGGGCCCTAGAGTTAGGTGAAGGAAGGGCGGGGGACGGGGGGACTCTCTGGCTCACCTGCGGCGCTCCGGCTCGAGGCGCGAGCCCGGAGGAGGGGATCGGGCGGCGGAGGCGAACCACGCGGCGGAGGCGGCGGCGGCGGGTGGTGGTGGAAGAGGAGAGGAGAGGAGGCCAAGAGGGGTGAAATGCGGAGGTCGAGTGGGTGGGTTGGGCTTTATGAGGCCAACTAGGGCGAAATGGGCCGGCCTGGATGGAGGCTGGGCTCAATGGTAGCAGTCGGTCGAATTGGGGTTGGAATACAAGAAGGAAAAAGTTTACTTCATATCCAGCTCGAGTTTCTTGGGTGTTCCTACTCGGCACGTGCGCGCCGGTTACAGAAGCAGCGAGCACGAAGGCACCCCTTCTAGGCCAACACTAAGCGCGAAGAGCACGAAGCGCTAATTACATAGCCAACACTAATTACAGTAAATTAGGGCTAACTATGGTAATTAGCATTAAATATTTAAAAAACATAAATATTTAGTTAAAAGTTTTAAAAGAATAATTGAAAATTTTAAATTTGAGTTGAAAGTTTTTGAATTTTGAATTGAAAGTTTTCAAATTTGAGTTGAAAGTTTTCAAATTTGAGATGAAACTTTTCAAATTTTGAGTTGAAAGTTTTTAAATTTAAGTTGAAAGTTTTTAAATTTTGAGTTGAAAGTTTTTAAATTTGTGTTGAAAGTTTTAAAATTTTGATTTGATTTTTTCAAATTTTAATTTGAAAAGTTTCAATTGAGTGAAAAGTTTAAATTTAGAGTTGAAAGTTTTTAAATTTGTGTTGAAAGTTTTAAAATTTTGATTTGATTTTTTCAAATTTTAATTTGAAAAGTTTCAATTGAGTGAAAAGTTTAAATTTAGAGTTGAAAGTTTTTAAATTAGTGTTGAAGGTTTTTAATTTTGAATTCAAAGTCTTAAATTAAATTATATTTCAAAGAAAAACCAACTAGACCCTAATACGTTCTAATTACAGAAAAATAGGAACTAATCAAGATGCTAATTACGTTTTCTAAACGGTGCAATTACATGAAAAAATAATTCAGGACTAATCATGTCGCTAATTAAATTTTCTAATACGGCTTAATTAAAAAGGTTGGAAGTAATCATGCTGCTAATCACGTTTACTTCGTCTTGGATTCTCGTCTTACTCGTAATGGGTTGCGTTGAGGAGGCACGCGTGCGCCGGCGCCGCGCGCTGGGCCTTCTGGGCCTAAAACGCGCGCCGCCGGCGCGCGCTAACTAGCTTTTCCCGAGTTTCTTTCCTATTCCTCAACCGTAAAAAACCAGATATACGTGCAAAACTACTTTAAACTAATTTTTCTCTTAAATTATTTATCCAAATCATGATCCGATTGCACCATTAAATTCGTTCCAATTAAATCTTCAAAACAAGACCACACATGGATATATTCCAACAATTTTTTTAGCTTATTATTGAATTATTTTTAAATGTTGCATGATGTTCCACCAAGTATATCGGAATTATTTCACTAGGTAGATCAAACAATCGTTTAAATCGGGCGTTATTTCACCTTATATAAAAACAATATTTCAACAAATAGCGAAAGAATGTTTCAATTCAGTGAAACATTAGATCTATACATATTGAAACATTCTTAGTACACTTGGTGAAACATTTTTTGTGGAAAAAAAATGAAACGAATTCCCTTAATAGAGGGTTTCCAAAATATGTAGGTGATTTGTTGCAAAAGAATGTTTCGTTCACTACAACATTAGGTCTATACATAATGAAACATTCTTAGTACACTAGATGAAACATTTTTGGCGGAACAAATAATGGAACGAATTCCCTTAATAGAGGGGTTCCAAAATATGTGGGTGATTTGTTCCAATAGAGTTGTGTGTGTCCACATGTTGGGCAAGAGTCTAAATCCGCGAATTCCTTGCGGTATAGTATGCAATGATTTTCACATGCATGGATCTTCTGAACACCTAGAGACAATGGACATATCAATTTCTTCGCTTGATATGTGTTCGTCGGTAGCAGGTTCGGCTTTGGAAGCATAACTCTCAAAAGATCCATCAAATCATTGAAGCTCATGTCCGACCATCCATGTCTGGCCTTCAATCTGAGAAGTTCGAGCACTGAGCGTAGGACCGAATAGTCCTTGTCGCATCCTTTGGCTTCGTCGTACAGAAGCTCCTTCGCTGTTTTTTTCAACGCTTCCCAACTGTCCAACCCTCGTCTTGTACCAGTTAGGACCTCTGGTTCAACGTGCCGTAACATATCTTCCAGATCAAAATCAATACCTTCATTCTCTATACCTGAGCCACCGTATTCCGGGATGTTTCCCTGTGACATGTCTTCGATTATAAAATTTTCTGCATCATCATAACAGAAATCATCTAACTCTTCGTTACGACCACCGACTTCCGCATGAAAAGTCCATATCTCGTAGCCCTTCTTAAATCCTCGTTCTACGATGTGCGACAATACTTCATTGGGATCTTACAGCAAAATTTCGTTCTTACAAACTTTGCATGGGCAAAAAATGCTCCTCAAATTCTCCCTCACAGCATGTGCCTTTACGAGCTCAACAAATTTGGCTGCTTCCTTCAAGAATGTTGGATGAGCTCTTTTCGTGTTGTGCATCCATGTCCGATCCATGACCTACAATAAAGCTTGTCATTAATACATCCATGACCGATTCAAACACGAATGTATTTAAATTGGAGGGAACTAATCACCTAGTAATTTAAAATTTTACGGACTTTTTAAACAACCGCACAACAATTTTAAGCATTAATATAATATTGTCCATTTCTAAAAAATAAAAATAATCGTCCTTTCATCCAAATGAAAATAAATTTAATACAGGCAAACCCAACTTTTCAATGTAGGTACTAAATACTTTTTTAAACAAGTAAAAGATTGCATTATTTATTTGCTAAAAAAATAAAAAACAAAAATGTGCCTACACTATTCCATTTATAAAAGTGCAAGTTTCTTCGTATCCACCAATGAAAACTGACAAAAATGGAAGCAAATGAAGGAGGAGAACAAGCTCTACATCTTTTATATGGAACACAATCAAAGATTTGAGGTCGAAAACCTTCCTCCCTAATTTGTGGATGTTTAGGAGAGAGAAACGCCGGAAATTCATGGCAACGGTTGGGCTGGGGGCTTATATGCCCCCTGACCATCGCAAGCGGTCGCCTACTGTGGGCCGCACGGGATAATCGATTATCCCGTGCGGCCCACAGCCCGACCCTGACATTCGTCTGGTTCCAGGCGGAGCCACTTATGGCCCACCTGGAACCAAAAGGTGCCGGCGTCCAGGATAATCACATATGTAGTAGTGTTAGCTTTGTTAAATTCCTTTAATTCAAGCTTGCTCTTGATATATTTACTTAGATTGATACTCTTGTATAAAGCTGTATTGGGGTATTAGCCGATACGGTATCTATTTTACCCTAAGTATTGTGTCATCGGCTATGATATAAAAAGATATAATCTCTGTCCATAGATTACATGTTGATTACATCTACAGCCGATGAAACATATCTTAGGTATACTTAATTTCATTTATCTTACTTCTCACAGCCGATTCGGTTAGATCGCATCGGCTAGGCTAACACGATACGTCATTGGCTCACCGGCCGATCAGCTATCGTATTCTCACTAGATTTTCTTGTTTATTTTCGTTGGTTGCAAGATCAAACCAACTAGCACGCCCTGAACCCGAAAGTGCTTTGGACCTGTACTGAAGCTAAGCAGAACTCCCAGGCCGTCGTGTTTCTCGTCAACAACGTCCTTAACCCGAAAGCGAGATTTGGACATGCGCTGTAGCTAAGAAGAATTCCCGGGCGCCGTGTTTTCTCATCAATAAAAACATAATACATAATACACGTTAGAAAAAAATAATTATTATAGTGTTTTTTACCTCCATTTCGGGCAAAAAATTGCCCTCCTCGCACCCTCCCACACGAAATGTAAACAGTGCACTAGGTTGTAAGGAAAGTAGGTGGTTGTTGGGGGTTTTACATAGGCCGCAACTAACCTCAAACGGGTTAGGGCTAAAACCTGTTTCTGGTGACTAAACTACACCTCTGACGGGCCGGAGCTACACCACCCGTCATAGGTATCAAGTCACCTGTGACGGGTCGAAAGTGGGATCAGACAGAGGTGTTTCTCTGACGGGTTCTATTGTCAGCCCGTCACAGGTGAGCCGTAGTCGAGGACTCACCGATGATGGCATCCCGTAGGAGCCATCAAAGGTAACGGTCATCAGAACTTTGGCCCATCACAGATAACCCATCACAAGTGAGCAAATCTGGCGTAGTGCTTAATACAAGGAAAATAACTTTGAATAATCTGATAAAACAACGCAAGTGTGCAATTACTTCTCATGTTTAGTTGCATGACTATACTAAATAGTTTTTTCCAAAGCTAATTGCACTGAACTGTACTTGTTAAGGAACAGGCATGCCAGAAGGGATCTAATACTTTTATTGACCACGATGAAACTACTCTTGGCTCTCACGCTAACTACTGTACTAGTAGCAACTATCTAGCTAGGCTGCCACATGCTCACATGTGACAATTTGCACATCACATTCAAGAGTGGATGTTTACTTTTTATCCAAATAAGGGTTGATCAATTATTTATAAAATAGTTGGATGTCAATAACACTCTTTTTTATCAGTATGTATTTATATATTAATAGAAAAACTATTTTGAGATGATCAATTTGTATATATTAACCAAGGGGACAAACCAACACTTTCACCTTGGGGATGGTAGTCAGTGAAACTAACACGTGGGTCTAAATTCCAATTAACGTGCTAATTGTCCAATTGCCCATGCATGCGGACAAGATAACTGCGGCATGCCAACTAGGCTGCGAGCATAAAATTAAATTTGTAGAAAGTTCTTAATAATATTATATGCGCAGTAAGTTTCCAGATACGTACATTAATTGACCTAGCAGGTCTTGATCCGATCGGTAAATTACGATCGGCACGTAAAAGTGTGCGCAAGTTGATGGGCACGTAAAATTCAAAGAAAAAAAATCGTTTTACTCCGTCAAACCATTCAGAGTACTTTACCTCTACAATATTTCTCGGCCCATTTTACTCATAAACTATTTTCAAAATGGTTCACTTTGCTTTCGAACGATATTATCCTATTTTATTTGTTTCTATACAAGT